CCCCCACCCCACCCCCCCCCACCCCCCCCCCCCCCACCCCCCCCCACCCCACCCCACCCCACCCCACCCCACCCCACCCCACCCCACCCCACCCCACCCCACCCCACCCCACCCACCCACCCCTATGTACTCGTAATATGAATACCATGTATAGTTAATTTATATCTGTCAGGAAGTTCCGTAAGTTATTGATGCTTACGATTTTCACCCGCTTTGGGGCACCGGTAGCCTGGTAGCACCAAAGACTTGAAATATTGATGGCTTTGCGTCTGTTGAAGGCACTTCCTCCTCCTCAACGAATAGACTCTTTCAGCAACTTCTTATGTGGTGGGGAGGACAGTATGCATGTTGCAGTGTGCAGGATGCGCAGCATGTGCCTCAAGTCTCAACCAAGCCATGAAACTTTGTCAACCTGCCTACAGCTGAAGGATTCTGCTACACTTACACATCTGTAAAATGAGAGAAGCTGCAAATGAAGAGAGGAAGGAAGTTGTTGTCGTTCGAAAGCGGGCCAGGTTTGTGTGAATTCCAGACCGTGCGACAAAAGGTTTGGCGGATGATGCTCACGTTATTTGCTGGCTCCGCTAGGAGGCTATCTCGTTTCCACATCGCGTGCCAAACCAGGGAGATGCGGATAGCCCGCTTGCAGCACTGTTGCCACCGCACAAACAGGAAGTGGGAAAGGTGCAAGCTTGAAACGAAGCATTGGGCGGGGGTGGGGAGAAGGGGTGTGGCAAGGCAGGGGGAGGATGTTGATTTCGGAAGCAGAGTTGAGCGCGAGCGCATGCGGTCCTGAAGTCCCTAAAGCTTAGTGGGGGGGGGACACAGTATGCCATGCCAGCCTTGTGCGAGTGTGCGAGCCTAGTGAGCACGACAGCCGGGGTTGCCAGAGACTTCCGCACTTCGCACGGTCCTCCTTTTGACGAGCTGTGATCAAAAGGCTATCGCCTTTACCTACGATTCACTGAACTTCTCGAACAATTATTCAGCCGTTGGCCTAGCGTTGGCAGAGCCAGAAGCTGCAGCTCAGAGAATCTTAGCAGCGAGGTCGCCAAAGATCCCGACAGCTATCCTCCGACCTTAACGGCCTCACCGTCTCTGAGAGCCACTTGATTTGCGCTTCTGAAGGGACTTGGTTTGGCCAAGTCTGATGGCCTTCGGCGGAGCACTACAACTGCGGCTGACACATGCTTTCAGGAAGCCACCATGGATCCATCCAAGTGGCGGTATTGGGTTGCCACAGATTGCCAGGCCGCTGCATTCAGCACGCTCGTATTTAGAGATCTTGAGGTTCACATCAGTTGCCAGACCACCGAAGCCTCTCTGAAGCCCCAAACCCTAGCCCAGTTCTCTAAATTAGGTTCCCTCTTAGGGTCGATTTCATAGGTGTGCCGTATTATCTTGGGGACCTACGCGACTTTAGAGAACTATCCTTATAGCACCCTTATTATTAGAAACCCAATAGAATCCCTTGTGGATCCCTTTAGGGCGAATGGGCCCCGTGCGGAAGTAGCCGAAGGCGGCCTGCTGATTGAGGAGCCTCAAAGAAAGGAGCGAGAGTCGGCAACAAAACCCTAACATATAAAATAGGATATAAAAAATTTGATATGTTATGATATGATATGATCTGGTATGATATGATATGAAAGATATATGTCTATATGTATATATATATACACATACATACATACATACACACACACATATATATATGTATAAGATAACATAAGATAATATAATATACTGACTCCCTCGCAACCCCGAGAAAAGCCTAGGCTGTTATCAAACTCGTGAGAAAGTCTACGAACCCAGCCGCGAAGGATGCGCCGATGTGCGAGGGACTCCCACGCACAATCACAAAACAAAACCCGTGAACTACTGGCTTTAGTAGGCGTGAAGGCCTCTAACCCCCAATGTCAGGATGCACTGGCCGCCGTCTTCCGAGTGGAAGTCACCGAGGGGCAGCGCCCTGGAAGAATCGTGATCTACAACAAGGCAGGGCACTGGACGGTGGCGGTGTTTTCAAAAGGTGCGACTCAAGGTCTGTGAGTGCCTTGTCAAGGATGGGGAAATCGTCACTCAAGTTCTGGCTGATCCCGTTGTCGTCCCATCCTCATTGTGCATAGCAGTTGGCAGGTTTTTGTCCAGTGGCATTCCCTCTCACATGCCCCCCAAAAGCTTCTCATCCCGCTGCCAGCTCAGAGAGCTCGAGCTGGAGCGAGTCCGCTCTCGCTCATCGATGCTTGCTGAGCCAACGTAGCTTCGGGCCTTTGGTGGCCAGCGCCCTGGGGTGGTTGCCGGTGGAGCTGCCGGTAGGACCATCGGTGGGCTTGAGACACGGTCAGGGCCCCATTTTCGAGCACCCTACCCCCTAGAGGAAGCGCCTCCGAGCTTTTCTGCAGGTTGCCATGGCAGAAAGGCTGAGATGCTTGGTCTTTCTCTGCCTCGGCCTTAGCTCTTCCGAGAGCTGAGATCAGGAGTGGCCTGCGCTTTTCTGATGCAGGTTGCCATGTCTTCCTCAACGGCCTGAAAACCCGGGTCTCTGAATCATGTTCACCATTGCTGCTAGGCTTTGCAACTCATTCCCCCTTCCTTTCCCGAGCCCTTGGCCCAGTTCCCTAGAAGCCCAGACAGCCCGTGCCTTTGCTCCTTTTGCTTAGCTCAGGATCAACAGACAATCATATTCTGCACTGCGGGTCGGAGTCGGAACTCCAAAGCAAGAGTTCGATCTTGTCGCTGACACAGGCAGGGGGAACTGGCACTTCGGATGCCGCATACTTCCCACATTGGACATGTCAAGCAGCCGTCAAGTGCTAGTTGGTCTTGCGGTGTGAAGCGCCAGAAACAAGAAAGTGTGAGTGAACGTCGGATCTTTGCGACATTGGGCCTGGAAGGCAGCAGTGCGGTCATCGTGACGCACTGCGAATGCATGTCAAACAGTTGCTGCTCGGTCAGCACGCCAACACTTTCGGCGGCAGCACAGTTTGAGAGCTTCGGCATGTTGGCTCAGGCTTTGGGTCCTCTGGAAATTGCTTCACAGGCTCGCCCGGGTTTACCTTTACCAAAGGAAGGCAGATCCGAAACATTGCCGGGCGATCGCCTGCAGCTTCACCCCAAGTTAGGCACAAACCGGTCCTCCACGTTTGACGTGCCGCGGGACGATTCCGGAGCTCCACTGGCAGTGACGTCTTTTGGTTGCACGGGGCGCAATGTCAGTGAAGGGGTTGTATAAGTCTAAGTAATATTTGATGATGATCTTCTGATCTGTTCCATCACCCTCAGAGCCTTGGCCGTGGCCAGGAGGTCCACATTGCCAAAGCCGGTCGGGTGATCGGGTAGAACTTGGGGTTTACTCGCAGGATGTGGGCTGGGCCGCTGTACCTCAAAATAGGAGAGTTGCTGGGGAGTGGTGGTGTGACAACGGACAGTACACAGAAATGGCCTAAGAGGTGCTCAGCACGTGCATCTGAAAGTCGACCCTCAACGCAACCCTTCAAGGAATGCTGGAAGCCCGAAAAGAAACCGCTCAAAGGAACCCTTTAAAGCCCTAGCGTCTTGAGAGTACGGGTCGTGTCTCCAAATGAGCATCTCCCAGAATCCCTGTCTAATTGCCCTTTTTGCGGAGTCAAGAGGTCCGCGTGATTCCTAACAGCAACAAAAACCGATCATAATATTTAGTGCATAATGTGTAGTAAACAGTAACAAGATGCAAGTACAAGAGTGCATAGCTTGTGCCGAGGATGACATTTGGCAGTGGGATGATCCATGGAGTTGTCGGCACGGACGTCGCCGCTTGTCATATGCAGGGCCCGGTTTTTGGAGCCGTACCCTTTTTCAATTATGTACGGGGGTGCATCCTCTGCCACATGCACCTGTCGGCCAGCGGCTAGACTCGGCAACAGATTTATGGAAGCTTTCTCACGTTTAAGTAACTAGGCCCCGCACAGGTGACCGTTGGCCAGGAATCTGCTATGATGAATGGCAGTGTGATTTTCATGCACTTTGGACTTCAAGCTGCATGCCGTGACACTTGAAGGTTTACCTCAACTGACAGGCAGTGACTGACATACCTGACCACTTGGGCTCTTGGCTAGTTGCCAGCTTTGTCAAAGACAAAGAGAGAAAAGACACTCAGGTATGACCATGAGCTCGACACTGCCATATCTGACTTCGAAGGTGGCCAAGTTGAACTTAGCCTGAAAAGCTACCTTTCTCTCCTGCATGGCTTGGGGAAGGTGGGCGAGTGATCTTTTGATCTGAGGCATTTTTGGTCTCGGCCTCCCGTACAAAGAGGCTGACATATGCCGAGCTCCAAGAGCCCCTGTCATGATCACCCATTCAACTTCCTGGTTCGTTGAACCATGTATATCACTATATAACTCCTTCATGTTGACCAAGATGCTTCAAGCCAGCAGTCTTGGCTGGTCACTGCATCCATTCAGCGATTTTCCATGTGCTTCTCCAACATGAAGGCTCGATTGTTTCACTTCTTGATCTGGCCCGCTTATGTGGCTTTCCCCATTCGACCCTGGAGGAGGATGGCATGCTACGCCTCAACTCCCCGGAGTCTCACACGCACGCCAGCCTTGCAAGCCTGTCACAAGTAGTTGGCAAGGATGACTTGAGCCGTGTCGCAACACCCCAGCAATCTCCGCATTGTTCATTTACCTTCCTCGAAACCGGCTCATGCTTGCGACTTTGCACCCCTACCCTGCGGGCTTTTCCGTGCCTGCACTCGAAACGCAACCAGCGCTGTAGGAGACAGGCGACAGACAGACAGAGACCCCTGCTGCTTCTTGAGGCACAACCAGAAAGACTTGGCAATCTTGGAAAGTTGCCCTACTGCAAGTACAATGCAAGACGCAAGCCTCGGAAGGAATGTTGCCTGCCCAGGTTCCATTGGGGTGTCGATTTCCAGGGCCTGTCCGTCGGCGATGAAACGGCGGAGATTATTCTGTGCGGCGATGGCGAAAAGACTTTGAGCAGAATTTTGCATTAGTCTCCGAATTCAGTTGCTTTCACAAGTACTGCAGCTTCAAAAAATTGCTGACGTCTGAGGAAGGACAAAGAGACCGCTTGCGGCCTGATACCCGACACTAGGCTCAAGAGTTCCGCCCTGGACGCCTGAGCTGTACCTGTCAAAAGCAGTCCGTGTCTCTTCAGGCAGTCATAGCTAAGTCTGCCCACATGTTAGAACTCATTTCATCTTCCTGCTATCAGTCCGTGTGCATTCAAGGACTCGGGGACCACTCTGATCCTCGCACCGAGCCGCCACCTCTGGACGCTCTATTCCAAGCTGTGTGACATGTGGCCGCGCTGCAGCAAGGCCTGGTCGAGCCTGTGCATACTCCCATGTGCGACCTGCGAGCAGTTCCTGGGTGCAGGCCTTCGCTCAAGACAAGACGTCAAAGCCGTCCGAAGAGCAGTCAGAGCCATCCATGGGAAGCAGAATCGGAGCACTTTGGCTTGCACCAAGAGCCAAGCGCCTCTGAGATTCCCGCAGCTGCATGTTTTGCATCGGCCTTTCAACCCATTGGGTCACCAGGACTGGATCAAGAGCACACTGGCATCTTGGCCAGCACTTGCAAAGAAATCCAGCTGCCAATACGGGCAGGATGCTTCAGGTCGGCAATGTAGACAGCATACTCGTCCTTAGGAGAAGTGGGGCATTCCAGAGATTCACATCACTAATCCGTTCGACCTGGACCCAGCCACGCAGCTAAAGTTGGACAAGAAGTGTCTCGGCAGCGCTCTGGATCGGGGCTCGTCACTTTCCCAAAATAATAAACAGGGTGGCTCGCATGAAGAAACTTGAACCACAGACCGCATGCCCGTTTCTGAGGGAACGGTTCGAATCCTTGCTCGCAGACTGTGCATCCTGGTCAAAAGATGCGGCCACTTGGACCTAAAGTGGACACATAGTCAGTCCGACTAGCACTCGCGACCATGCACGACAATAGTCTTCACACAGAGCGAGTTGTTATCCGAATGGATCAGGCAGACTTAGACCGTGAAATGCCGGCCCTTTTTTGGCATGTCCCTTGGAGGCACAAGGTCTTGAGTTCAGGTGATGCGCGCGGTTTTTGTGGGTGTGTGTGCGCTGGCCGTATGGCGGTGGTTAGGTGGCTGGAGTGGAGGGCAAGACCCAGACTTTCAGCTTGCCACCGAGTACCTATGTAGCACCTCGGACTCACGGGCGAAGGGGTTGGCACTTTGTGCAGAACCTGCACTGTCTGCTGCTTAGACAGACGGAGAGCAAGGTTGCGACCGGATTCCACGACCAAATTATTTGCATGCCATTTTTCGGAGAGTACGACTACGAGACCGTCCAAAACGGGCCCATCTGGATCATGGGCACCCCGCTTTTCTACGAGTACGAAGTCCATTATGTTGGGGCCTCAGCCCTTGACACTGGGATTCTAAGTGTGGGAGCTAGTCTGTTGAGCATGGAAGGGTAGTCTGATTCTGCGTGTCGTTGCAATGACCTCATTAGTCGTAGTAGTACTCGTCGTCGTCGTAGTCTTCGTAGTAGTCGTAGTACTCGTAGTGGTAAGTAGTACCCGCAGTAAAAAGCACAATGTTAACCTGGTGGTGGTAGTCGTAGTAGTCGTAGTAGTAGTAGTAGTAGTAGTAGTAGTAGTAGCAGTAGCATAGTAGTCGTAGTAGTGGTAGTAGTAGTAGTAGTAGTAGCAGCAGCAGCAGAAGTAGTAGAAGCAGGAGTAGGGGTAGGTGGCAGTAGTTGTGGTTTGTGGTAGTAGTAGCAGTAGCAGTAGTCGTGGTGGTCGTGGTGGCGGTGGTGGAACGAGCAGTATCACCTGTAGCAGCAGTAACAGAGGAAGTACGTAGGAGTAGAAGCAGCAGCCACCCGAGAAGCCCTGCACCTTGCACCTGGATCAAACGGCTTGGCACCTGGATCAAACGGGCTTGGGGCCACATTGCAAAGCACTACAGCACTTCGGATTCCCAGCTTCGCCACCCCCACAAGTTCACATCAAAACGCATGAAATCACGTGATCCGAACGGCCGCACAACCCGGAACAGGACATGAAGCGTTGTATTCGTCATACCGAGTCATCTAGCTGGAATAAAACATTGGGGAGAAGGTCAACAAACATTCGCACTGCAAGTCCCGTTACGATCAGGGTCAGGCAAGGGCATGAGATTCGCGGCAGGATCTGTCCACCGAGCCTCCAAGCCTGTCATTCTCGAAGACATCATGCGGGTCCAGAGCTTACAGTGGTGGCAGTTACAGTATCACGCAAAGCTGGTGCCAGCAAGCTTTGCAACTTCGGAGTGTGGAAAGAGGTCCTGCGGGCAAGACGGTAAAGCCAAGCCCTCAGCACCTGGACCTCGAGGAGTTTTGATTCATTGTGGCTGATGTTATAGATCAGGCCATACCCGCTGTGGATCTATTGAGGAGAAGGAGCTGGGACGTGCTGGCACAAGCTTTTGGAAGCTATCGGGACCTTGAGAAACAGAGCATGGAAAGACCCAATAACTCGTTGAACCAGTGGTGTGCCTGGCTTTGCCCGAGCATGAGTGTCAAAACAAAGCGGTGTTTGGCTAGCTGGAAACGCAGGAATCAGCAGCTTCGCCGACATGATGCCAAGGCACGTTTGAAGTCGGAAGGATGCTATATGCCACAGGCAAACTCTCGGTACTGCAGGTTCGCATGCCGCAGATGAACACGAGCCTTCCGTTGTGATCTGCCGATGGGGCGAGTTTGTTAGAAGAAACATTTAGTGTGGTATTGCACGTGAGCTGCACTGCAGAGATGCATCTCCGGGCAGATCGGAAATCGTTCGATCCATCTGCGTTTCACTTGTGCAGCAAATCAGGGGAGCGCCATGCAGGCTTATCTACCGGATATCTCCCTTCCACACAGCCTTGTGTTGAATGTATTGCTTGCAAAATGAACCAAGTGATCCCAGCTCATTTGCTGTTACCACGCTGACCTCACGACTGGCTACCGAACAACCCAGGCTCGCTACGAGTTCCTGGACATCAACAAACGGCTGCTGGCAGTAGCCGAGTCACCCGCATTGGGAGCCGGGATCCCGATGATGTCCCTCCCCAGGACCTGAAGCAGCCGAGACGGCAGTCTTTCACATGACGCGTTTTTAAGCACATTGCTGCCTTTCAGGAGATCGAACGTCGGAGCGCCCAGGATTTGTTTGCCTCGTTGCAGCAACAGCGAAGGGGTTGTTTCAGCTTCAAGCCCGGCTGAGATGGGCAACATCCTTCCCTACACGGTGCATTTCGAGAGAGGTGGCTACAACTTGTCTAGCAGCTTGCTGAAGCAGGACGCCTGTCAGCAGATGTCAGCAGCCCTTCTAGTCCTACTGATCCTCGTTTAAGAACTCCAGTGAAACGGAATACGAACCTATCATCATGTCGGATCATTGCGCAAAGCAAGTTTCGATGCGCCAGCTGGATAAGATCTTCCGCAATGCTGTAGGACATGTTTCGTCCGTAATGGCCTGTACAATTTTTGATGGACTACGGAAAAAGGTACTTAGTGTGGGGTCTTCGCATAGTTTTGGTTAGAGCTCCTTGATCTAGTGTCACGCCGACCTGACTCTTTAGAACCTCGCCTAACTTGTCCGGTGATTGCGTAAACGAGGGAGGTGTGGATGACGGCGGGCCAGGTGGTGCCGAGTGACTTTCTTGGCGCGGGGAAGTGGGTCGTTCGGAGTCAGGAAAACAGGCTGACCTCACTCCAGTGCCCCGATTTCTGTGTCACTGACACATGCTTATGCCTTCATTTGGCCTAGATGTCGTTTCTGGCGCAGTCCTCACAATGCACAAGCTTGTTCTTCAGGAGCTCCGCTGGATAATTGGATCGGCAGTTCAAGTCTGCAGCCAAGTTTTTTCTGCTGTATGTCGAGTCACGGCATTGAGCACCCAAGAATCGCTCACGTGACCCGTTGGCAAAATACTTGACGAATCTGCTGCCACATCGCCGACTCGAGGCATCTTGCCATGTGCTTCTTCAAAAGACTCTAAGTCAGCTTGCCCCAGAGCTTGGCCATATGGCTGCAGTGGGCGCATGGCTGGTTTCCAGTCTCCTCGTTCTGGCGGCCGCTGAAGACCTCTCAGGCATCAGCGGCCTCTTTGAGCGTGGCCCAGACAACCTGGCACTCAGTCGCCTGGAATCAGACCCATCGCAAGCTGACAGCAGTGAGACGCTGGACAGCTCAGAAAGGGACAGAAAGACATGCAGGGGATGTGATTGCTACAAGCGTTGGATGGGCCAGGACTTTCCTGGCCTGAACTTCTGCACCAACCACAACACCGCTTGGGAGTCAGCTGCAGGGAAGGCGCCAGACATGAAATGCATGGTCGCCGACTCGAAATGCGAAGGCAGTGCTGAGGGTTCATGTGCACCAAACTGCCCGCGATACACCACCAATGGATGCACTTGCGTCAAGGACTGGTCTATGGAGGGACATGGGGAATGCCATGATTCCTGCTGCAATCCGACCAACACAGACGCAGAGTGGTGCATGGTGGCGGATCCGAGCTGTCAAAGCATGCAGTGGGGACCATGCGCACCTGGTCCAGTGCGGCATCCCAAAGAACGCGTTACAAAAAAGGGGTGCAAGTGCGCCAACGGCTGGACGGTTGAGGCCGATGGTGCAGTGCAGCATTGTCATACTTTCTGCTGCACGCCGTCTGGCCTAGGAGTCGATGGTGAGGTGTGCGTCGTCGAGGATGAAGAATGCGAGGGATTGAACATCGGCCGATGCCGCCCTTGAGGTTCCAGATCTGAGCGTGACTTTCCCAGTAGTGTCGAATGCTCATCCCACCTGGGCAGTTGCATCTCTCGGACCAAGCTTTGGTTAAGAACGCAGTGAACGATGAAGTGCGGTGGGTTGAGAAAGATGTTTCACAAAACTTGTCCATGATCCTGGCAGCTTTGGCAGCTTGATGCCTGCGCCAAGCCTGTAGTAGTAAGAGCGTCCCTACGAATTGAGCTGCGTTGCATGAGTCGGGGCAGCAAAACCTGTTACAAGCTCGTGCGATTCAATATCGTTTCAATGACAAGGACGGCTGGAACGCCGAAGATTATCCCTTCAAACACAGATGAAACTAAGGTGCGCGCTTTGCAAGATGCTCACACTGACTTTGTCCCGCCCTTCATCAAAGACAGGCTGCACAAGCTTTCAAAGTTCAGCCTGCTTGATCCATTCCGCAAGCTTTCCGGTGCAGTGCGCTATGCTTGAGATACCTCCTTCTCGCCATTGTCCTGGCGCTGATTCTGATCGGGGCCGTCCTAGTAATTTCAGTTCTTACAGGCGCCAACCACTTGTGAAAGCATAGGTAGCAACCGCAATTTCAGCTTCATGCAGCAAAAAAGATGAAACCGAATGAGTTCGATGAAGCGTGGCAGGCTCATTGAGATCTGCATCCCGGATCTTCTTCTACAGGGACAAGGTCAGGTTGCGGAGCATTTTGAGGATCCGTAAGCCTTTAAGCGACACGGGGCCAAAGCCATGATGATTTTGCGATCAAGGCCAGTCAAGGCATCTATGCCCCTCCTGCCGTATAGCAACCATGAGCGTTACAACGCGTGCAGCTCAACTAGTGCCCGTCGTCCAGCCGGCCATCCCTCTTCTTCGCTTGCTCAGGTTGTGTTGCCATCCCGGCAACTCCAGAATGCAGTGCCCGCAGCAACAGCCCAGCAGGTGGAAAAAGTTATCAAGCTATCATGATGTACCGTCGCTTTGGATTTTGTATGCATGGCCTGACGCGAGGGAGGGAGCAGGAGACAGAGAGATCAGCACCTGCTGCTCCCATTATTCTCAAGAGGCGTGCAAGCATAGGCACTGCCAGCTGCAAAACTGCAGTTAGCAGGAGCCATGAAGGCCAGGCCCGTGCATGCTACTAGCTCCTTTGGTTGGTCTGTCGTGTGGCACAGAAAGACTTGCTGCAAAAGAGGGGCATTGCTGCCGGGGAGGATTGCTCGCTCACTCACCCACTTCCTCACACACGAAACGACCACAAAGCAAGCAAACAAGCAAAGCAGGAATATGCAAGCTGCGAAGCATGGTGTCTCGTGATGCATTGAAAAACCGATTGGCAAATTGTGTCTTTGCATTTAGTGGCTGTCCAACTTGAGCTTGAGTGAAGCATCTCATTGGCTGGGTGACTCCTTGGTCATGCTGCCGCCAGGTGCTTGTCAATTGTCAGGACTTGAAGTTTGAGGCCAAAGTGCCTTCCTCTTGTGCACTGACAGTGCGCTTGCGAGCAGCTTCCAGGTGCAATGTGGTGCCGGGAAACAGCACATGCGCTGGTTGGAACATGTCTCAGAGAACTCCGTGAGTCAAATGCAAAGTCTTCTTCTTGCCATTGTGAAAGGCACTCGTTGCGGCTACACGCGTCCAGAGGGAGAAATATCCTCATGCCTTTCGGGCATCCTGGCTACATGCAAAGATGGCAAAGATCTGGCACGCAGCTTTTGTCGTGTTGCGGGTCAAACTTCAGGTACCTCAGAGAGTCTTGAACTCTGATGGTATGACACTTAAGCCTGCCAGACATGTTTTTGTTGATCTTGTACCCTTGAAAGGGCTCTCGTTGAATCGCTGAGCCAGGCCTCGCCAAGTGATCTGCTCCACTTTGGAGGAGGGCGAGGAGGCTTCGTGGGGCTATGGGATGCTCTTATGTCGCATGTGGCCCGGTGCGGCCATAGCGTGTGAATCGCGGGCACATGCAGATGCTGCACCTCACCGCCTAGCTAGCAGGTCTTCATCGAGCTTAGACAAGGTGCCGCCATCGCAGAGGAGGCAGGCAGAATGCATCATTCTCACCATGTGAGCACGACACGAAAGAGTGCTCTGCAATGAGGACGTCGATGCGCTGGAGTGGTCAGAGGAGGCTTATGGCCCTCAAGCCAACCTCATGGAATGCAAATTCAGGCAGGTCGAAGCAACATATCCTGCCTGAGGAATCACATCATATCACGTCGCAATGCGTGGGCATCTGGGAGGTGGAAGGTTGGCGGCCAGCAAGACTTTCCCAAGACCGTCCGTGGCGAGTACGTAGTTGCACCTCGCTGGCAGGGGGCCTGGACCTCAGCACTGAAACACAGGAGAGCAGCCGGAACCCCCGTTCATGGGTCATCTGCACCAAGGTATACCCACAGAAGGATTATGGTGGACCCTTCGAGATACAGATCATCCCGGTGGACATCACACCAGACGAGGTCGAGTGGATAGCTTCCAGGACTGCCTGTCTGCTAACTGGGAAAACTCTATCGAAAACGGTAGCCAGCTGAGGGATGTTTCCCTATAGCAGCAGATGTTATCAACGCCTTGTGTAATGGAAATCTGTTTATGCCGAGGGCCTCGACAGCAAACAGACGATGGCAGGTCAAGCGCATGGCGCCTTTCTTCCACGTTAACTGCCCACGACGCGAGAAGACGCAAGCGATCAGGATGTCGCAAATACCACAAGCGGCCGCCCTCGCAGCGACCTAGTTTCAAACGAGTTTTGACTTGCCACGGCCTAGCCATTTTCAGGTTTGTTTTGGAAGACTCGGTAGCGATTTCGTCGCAGCTGGCGAGGTGGGGCTGTCTAAGACAGCCAGGAAACCAACTCCATTGCCAAAAAGAGAGATAGTCCGCCCCACGAGTTCAACGTTTGAAGCCAAGACGCAGCAGCTCGGTATCAGCCCGTGGCCTGCAGGAAGGCGCCTCCCGGAAGCTGCACTTACAGGCTCAGAGCCGGCTTAGGGGAGCTCTCAGAGCAAAGCTCGCCCGTCTAGGTTCGTCATGAAGAATGACTACGAGTCCATCTGTAAGGTGCCGCTGCAGTGTTCCGGCATCATGCAATCTGTCGCGCAACCATCTTCCAGGCTGATCCAGAAACCCTGACGTCCGACGGCCTAGCACACTATATCGACCCTTGGCAAGATGTCTCCAAATCTGGCCTTGCTATGCTGGTCGCTCACTGCACCCGTGCTGATGCATGCCATGTGTCAGCGAGCCTAGGAGTTTCATTGGGATGCATCTCGGCATAAAAGCAGTGGTATCTCTGTGAGATCTTAGCGTGGTCGAGCAGAGTAATGTCGTGTTTGCCTGCTGCCTGAGCTTGCCATTCGCTGTGTTGCTAAGCAGGTGTGCGAAGCTTAGGTGCCAATTGCTCCGGAGCCTTATCCGGAAATCGACAGCCGACCTTCCACAGCATCCTCCCGAGACGGGGCGCAAGTCGACCCCAGATTCGAGCAGGACACCTGTACTAAATCTTTCGGTCGGTGCCCATTGCAGCCATCATTGGGCCGCATGATCGAATTTGAAAGGACTGGGACGCCCTACGACTAAAGCCACTCCACTGCAAAACAGCGAAGCAAACTCTACACATGCAGGGCCTGTGACGGAGACATGTTTTCTCAAGCGCAAAGTCCCGGTCGAACTTGTGTCCTAAGGTGGGTTGAATCGTTCATGAAGGCCGGTTCTGTGCTTCATGCTATCAACACCTGCTTAGGTTGTTCTCTTATACATGTCTTATGTTTGCTTCCAGGTTCGCGTGAAGGATGTGCTGACGGAGTTCTATGCCATCTTAATCGACCTTTTCGACTCATACGCTTTCATGGGCTCCCTTGTCGCATCTGTACGGGGGTGGGATCGCTGCAGGCCTGTATATGACAGTAGACTATAGTGTGCTATAGTATCCTGTAATTGAAGCACCATAAAATGCTATATCATATTACAGATACTCCAGTATAATTGCCACTCTGTCTTTCAAAGGCCTGGACCTTTCTGCAAGCCAGCACACCATCGGCTGCCGCCTGAAACTCCTCAGTGCAGACATGGTCAAGAGCCAGATTGAATTTGATCATCGCTTTCTTGGATGGTGAGGCATGGACGTCCACGTCTTGGAGATGCGGTGCGTGTTGATGTGAATCGCGGACATTCATTCCACCGTTTGGATATCTGTATCGCCTGTGTAAGGATTGGAAGCACCTGGTCATCAATTGTGGCTTGTTGGAGGGTCAAGCGGAAGGATCACTCAGTTGGCCGGGCGCCCCATCCCAACTTTAAAGAGCGGTGAGCACAGGCACCATCTCTTTCAGATTATGCCTGGGCAAGGTCACATGCGTGTACCTGGTTTGAGGAAGCAGCAGGCATCCGGGATGGAAGGCTGCGGTCCAAAATCTTATCCTATCGGCTTCAGAGAAGGACTGTGGCTGATGCACAGTGAGGCCATATCTGGCCCAGCGGCTAACACGAGCACACTACCTGGACAGCCTGTTGCAACAAAAAGGAGCGGGGTCGACTTGACATGACCGAGATGGCCACGTGAGAGGAGCTGTTAATGCGGACAGCCTCCTGGACAATGTGTGAGCAGCCTCGAGAGCCGTCAGCCCAGTTGCTGCGCTCGTAAGAGGTAGGAGGTGCAAACATAAGCTGCGGCTTTGCTAAGGAAGTATGCGCCAGAGAAGGGCAGACCGCCCATGCCCCTGGATGAGGCCATCGGAAAGTTAAGTCTAAGCGGAAGCGTCGACACAAGCATCAAGGGGTTACTTGCCAGGGCCTCTTCCGATTCATCACGGATATTCTGATTCCGGTTATGGACGTTTACGATGACGACCCGATTCGAAAAGACGCAGTGCAGCATGAAAATCTGGTGGTGATTCAGGCAGGGAAGCACAAATCCATGCAGGCAGGTAGTACTGCCATGGTTTTATTTCAACTTCTTTCTGCCAGGAGAATCGGCGTTCCATCCGGTCGATCTATTCTTTTCTGGCGCACGGCCAAGTATGGAGAGTTAACATGCGCGTTGGGCGCAGGGTGTTACGTTATGACATGATGACGGGGCTGCGCTGCGCACAGGCACAGCCGTGGCCATACTATCAAGGAGAGCGAGTTTTAGTTCCGGCGGCCTGCCTAGTTAAGGGTTCGTCAGTTTCGTCAAAGTGGCTTGAGATCTTCCGGAAAAGACGCAAACCCCAAGAAGTCAGGCCACATTGAAGTACGTGTTGGAGCCCTGGCCCCAGCTTCAACTCGAAGGATCTCAGAAAAACCGGCGACACACCGACGGCGGGACCTGCGTATGTTTCGTGCCAAGGTTTGCTCACGAGAAGCTGTCTGAAGCGAGCGGCGCCAGATGCTTACAGATGCGCAGCCTCAGCAAAGCACTTCGGCCTTTTCGCACTGTCGTTCTCCAGGAGGCTCCCCCACCACCGCCCGAGGGAGAGGCAGCCGAAGCGGGCGCCCCGAAGGCCTGCTGAGCTTTGCCAGCGAGAGGTGCATTTCAACATCACCTTATCCACGGCTCCGGTCATCAGTATTAAGACCTTCACAACATTGCGAACATTTGCAGTGACTACCCAATAGACCCGGTTAGCCAGAAAAGAGCCGTTTCTAGAATCACACGGATTCTCCCGAATCCTTCGTTTTCGTCAAGAAGTTGGCGGAGCGTTTCGGCAACTTTTTCGGCAGAACTGTTTTCCCGAAAAGGTAAAACCGCAGCTTGCCGGATTCGGCAAAAGTTGCCGGATGCGGCAACCGCTGGTTTACCGGATTCGGCAATTTTTGCCGGATTCGGCAACCCTTCGCCGGGGCAAACTTCCATCAAACTTCTTTGCCCAAGCCGGCAAAACTTCTACCAA